ACATCGCGACCAAGCTTGCGACGGTCAGTAAGACGGCTCGCGTCATTGTCCAAGTAACTCCTGAACTCCTCCAACTTACAGCGCGAATTTCTTTCGCGTATTTTTGCTGCATAGCCGGAGTGACGGTCCCCGCTTTGACCTTGTCCTGCTTTGTCAACCAGGATGCGAATCCGTCACCATGCAACAGAACCAAGGAAGGAACCTGAAAGTCCTTCGGCAAACGGATCAACACATCCTCGTCACCAACCGCAAGAGCAAGCAAGCCATCCTCACGATTGTCAACAGTTGCATCCGAATCGCGGTCATCCCCAACATCCGGCACCGGCGGTTTCTGGGAGGGGTGTTTGTTCAATCGGAAATTCCCCCTCAGTCACAGGCAAACCCGGAACCGCAGCTGGTCCAGAAGATGACGAGGCAGAGGCTCGTCGTGAGAAGGGAAGTCACCCTCAAGAACGGGATCCTTCTTCCCTGCCGACTGACCTTGCAACAGAACACAGGTGCAGGCCACGGCATAGGTGGACTCAATCCTTGGTCTGGATTTGAGAACTGTGGAACCGCGCCAGGGGCACGAGGAGGTCCTGCTGGGGCTCGTCATGATACTCCATAGAAACCGGCGGCTCATCTGGTGAAGGTCCATAGCCAGGTCCCGATCCAGGTGGACCACCTCCTGGCGGATGGCCCTCCATCATCGTTCGAGGGATCATAAGGCATATCCAACTCGGAGCTGTCCTCGTCCGGTACCGGCACAAGAGTCCGGCTCAATCGGATCATTGTCTAGATCCGGTTCTGGCCGTTGGCCTTGAGGTGGTGGCATCTCCTCATCATCCACAGGCATATCTCCTCGCGGATCTTCGTAACCTGGATAGTCCACATCATCATTGTTAGGTGGCTGCTGTGGAATGTCAGGAGCAGGCGCAGGTTGATCCGTGAAATCCAACCCGACATCTGGCCCCCGACGAGAAGGCGGACCTTTCCTCTCATTCCAAAATACAATCATGTACCAATGGTCCGCTTGCATATCCTGAAGAAAAAACACATGATCATGATCACCCTTGTAAAATAAAATCACCCCAGCATCAGGATGACGATGAATCAATGGAAGTCTCTTTCCGAATGTCCCCCTGTAAACATTGCAGTACTCAAACTCCAAGTACGGAAGAGTCAACACCCTCACATTCTTGATCATTGGGCTCAAAGAAACAGCCTCTGACGAAGTGGTAGTGTGAACTTCCAACTCGGTTGTTGTCAATGTGTCACGAATCTCTGCGGTGCGACAAAATGTAGCGGTTGCGGCAGCTTCCCCTTCGAGTTATTCGACATGGGCGAATACTCTTCGGAAGAAGGAAGAACTTGCAGTGCTTCCGCATTCCTTTCAGGTCGCCTACACAGAGAGCAAAGAGCTCCATCATCAACGACTTCAAAGATGTCTTCAACCAGAAACCCTTGTCGCAAATCAGAATGTCAGTGACCAGTAACACACTGGGACAGCTGAATGGTGAACCGTGGATCAAAGATGGTTGTGGAATCGTGTCCTTCTGCAAGAGAATCCAACCGATCAAGTGATCCTTCCGGCAGTTTCGAAAGAAAAGAAAGTTCACCACGCGACTGTTCTCCCTGGATTTCGACAGTCACAAACGACATGCTGCTTCGCCACTTCAGGGATCGACTGCACTGAGATGACCAACAACCCGAGTGGGAAGGATGCATGATAGTGACATGGCATCCCCGGTCATCGTGCCAACGGCAAACTTCAGCACAAAAATGCCAAAAGGCTCGTGCTGTCTTCTTAGACTGTTCAGCAGGAACAACCGGATGAATGACAATGTGATCAGGCTCAGCCGTCAAGATCGTCCTCCAGGCAGCAGCAATCAAAGATTGAAGTGTCTTGGAAGACCAGAATAGGTTCATTCGATGCACAGCCCGAACGACATGCACACGCAGTGAGCCCTGTAAGGTGAGGTGAAATCTCGACGAAGTCGCTCTTCCCTGAAGTGAGTGAATGATAACAGATCTCGTGTTCGTAACAGTAGGAAGAGACACTCTCCCGGCATCTTCAAGGATCTTATCTCCGATACGGTCGAGTGCCTCCTCGTGTGAGGAGCGTCTCGACTCTTCCTCGGATCTGAGAGGAATTGCCACATCGTGCCACGGATCGCGACCACGTCTCACCTTCGCTTGATTTACTCGAAGCACAGCGCGATGGATTTCAACCAGAACCATGGCACCTT